GCATTATTCATCATGCACACATGTAATCAGAGGTTGGTTAAGTAGAAAATGAATGCTGAGTCCAGCGTATGTTACACCTTCTTTCAAATCACCAAGAACGTCACGAACGATTGAGCACAAGCTTAAAACAAACAAAACTGAAACAGATTCATCGTTATCTTTTCACTTTTCAGGATTCAGTCTCCGTGGTTACAAATTTCGCAAGTTGATTGATCCCACCAGCAACCCTAGTCGAGGATGAAAACCACGTTTTTGTCTGTTCGATGAACTGCGCGGAGCCTCTTCACGTGCACTTCAATAATTTCTGACAGTTTCCACCAAGTTGACCGCAGCCATGCTGGAATACACCCTGCTCCTTCACATCCCAGGTCGTCGGCAAAATGGTAGATGCGAGGGCTGATTGTGTGGCATCTACTTAATTAGAAATTGGTAGCACATTATGCTTCAATGCGGTGTGCTATTGTCTCGCAACATTAGTTGTACAATGCGCCCAGGTGGACGTGATTGCATGCACAGTGGTCTCAGAATGAAGAAGGCGAATAGGTGCTGTACACGACTAACTAGAATCATGTTCTCGGGCACATTTATGAATTTCTTAATTTGACTAAAAGCGAAGCCAAATTGACCGTAGTTTGGAGGAGTGCTTGAACAACTGCACTGCTCAATGCTTGTAATAAAGCGGTCATCTGATATTGGTTCTTTTCTGAACAGAAATTAGCTTTCTTTGAAATGATTTATGAACCCTCGAATTTGGGCAGAGCATTTGATGTGCCAGAACAAAGCAAATTAGTAAATTCCAAGTAGATTTTTACAGGATGGAAACAGTGTAATTTAGTAAAAACAGAAATTCGTGCTCAACAAAAGCAGTGAGTGGGGGAATTGCCCTAACTTGTTTCAGTACATGGCAATGTTTCAAAATCACAATGTTCCAACATTGCCATGGAGACATTGTTTCAATATTTTCACTACACCTAAGTCACATCTCTATCAGGTGCGTGACAAAGATTTAAAAGGTCGGTAGGTCATAGACCTCGGTAGATGCCACGTTATCACGAGTGCCACACAGGCAGGCAAACATGCGTCTTCACCAAATATTTGCTGTTTTCGTTTTGACGAGCCTTCAACCCATCCTCATTCGTGCATCCAGTAAGTCTCTTTTGTGTTCCTTGACTATGTGCCTGATGCTTTTTAGGTTGCACAGCCAACACCATGGTGGACAACATTCTTGAGTTGCTTCCGTTCGACAGGATGGATTTCACGATGCCTCATGTGCGCCTCCTGGGCGAAGTCCGAGTTAGCAAAATCGGGGGAGTGAGTCGCGCCTGCACCACAACCACAAAGAAGACGGCGAGTGAGGCAATTCCATCGTATGTTTTCAACGCGTGTTTCAATGTCACGGACGTCGCTATTGATTTACCAAAACAGGCAAGTTTTGGTGTCCTCATCGATTCCTCTCCACCCACCAATCTTGACTTGCTTGTGTGAAGTACGTGTGATTGATTGACGACCAGCTATTTTTGGCCATCAAACCACTCAACACGCTGGACTTGAAATCATCACTTGAAAGTTGAAAAGAGGTTTGCATAAAAAAGCAATGATTTATTCCACCTACGAGGAAAAGGAATCTGTAAACGCCGCATTTACCATAACTAATCACGGGAACATTATTACATTATACCGTCAAACGATGCACTAAATTGTCGTTGAATGACAAATTCAGTTTAAGCTGCCACGGTGGGTTAAGAAGAGATTAATTTGTTTTAATTGTAATTCAATGGCACTTTTTTAGATGATGATGAAATGATGAAACGCGTTTGATTAAGCAATCAACTACCAAACATTTATTCGAAACCCACTTATTCGCAAAACGTTGTAGCAGCGTTGACTTAGGAAAAGTTGTTTGACAGCCAAAGCTGAGTGTGCAGTCATTGTCTGTCTCTAAAGGAAATCATGATGTCTGTTATGATTCTTTCAGTGTCTGAGCATTTCAATCGGTCTGGCTAGATTCGACGTCTCTCTGCAGATTTCAGAATCATCAAACATTGCACCAAGATTGACCGTATCGATTCCAGTTTGGAAGGATATCAACGTCAAGGGACCACGACTTAAATCCACCCTTGTTCAGACGGCGGTAAAAAGCAGGACTGCTGTTCAATTGACTCTGCAGTCCGCGGCAAACGCGGCGCTCCAGACGATCAAATTCGCAGACTTATTGAAGTGGGCAGGGTTGTGATTGTGGTGTGTCCAGATATGTCCACTTTTCGAATGCATCTTTCTAAGACAACTTTGAATCTGACAACAATACTTTATATATTCTCCTCAAAGAGTGCAAGGAAACAATAAAGCGATTGGGTGACTTGGAATCATCTAATCTTGATGAATTTAGTACGGAGGCGACTACCACCAAGCGCAGTGTATTAGAAGGAAATTTCCATGTAAACGACGAACGCAAAAGATGGTGCGCAAAATCAAGTGCACAGATTCAATGTGGGTCTGTTGTGAGTCGTACAGAGGTGTCATGACCATTAACGAGCGGGTGGTTAGCCATCATCAAGACAATAAAAAGCTTGGATGGTAATGGTGTATCCAGGCGGCTGAGATGTTATAACGGAAGTAGCATGAGCGGAGACGTCTACAAATGGACCCATTTAGTTTCCACGTTTCAACATGTAGAAGGCAATTATGTGTGTGGATTATTTCCAGCACACAAATTCCATCAACGAGAACAACCTGAAGCGATCATTTGGTAATATTCCAATCGCACGACAATATCAAACACGCAAATTGAACCAACGGGATTCAGGACACGCCTGCAGCCTTTCTGTGGTCAAACGCGGCTTCTTTTAAAGCCATCTCTTTTCATGTTGCGTTTCTTTTGCTACATCATGTGAAAGTGTTGAACCATAAGAGCCTGGCCAAGTCTAGATCACGTGTTAATGAAAGTTTTGATAAGTGCAGTAACTCCTCCTGGTAAAATGAACCAGTAATGAGCTCAAGAATGATGTCACTTTGAGGGGTGGATTTGATTGCCACCGAAGTGAGGACCACTATGATCGCACTTTGGCAGTCTTTACAATTTATAGAGCAGTGTACAAAGTTCAATGAGCCAGTAGGTGCTGTTTTGAACAACTACAACCATCGTCTCAAAGGTCCTCCGTGAGGCGATGAGGCGTACCAGTTCACGTTGTGGTAGTGTCTGCCTACTCACAAGCACCTTGTTAAAACAGTGCTTTAGGGACACGCGTGTCATGTTATTCGCTCTTACGCATGTTCATATTGTGCCCGTAAACAACAATTGTCGTAAACATCGACAGAAATCACATTCACTGCCTGTTGTAGGCAGCCGTGAGAAATTGTTTCAATGGCAGGCTAATTCCTCGGTCGCGAATCAGCATTAATTGGTGTCGTGGGTGGCTAAATTCGTCGAGTGTTGAGGTGCACTGCCACCACACAGAATGCATTGAAGTACATTGGAATGGCTTCAGGCAGCATCGTCCTAGATCACTCGGTGTACTTAGTGCTGACTGAGCTCTAGCACGTGGATTTACCATCACTTTTGTCTCTTTGTTTATTACCGGTTTTTCGTGAATGATACAGAGGTAATGGGTGGTTTTGTCAGAATCGCATAAGGTGTTTCTACGCAGCGGCCTGTTCGATTGCCCACTGTGACCAAATGTCAGATGCTATATCCAAACTGATCCGAAATGTGACAAACGGACTCCGACAATGCTTTAATACTTTACCTGGGTGATTTGACATGCGGTGCAAAATTCCACGTGCCAAGTGTATTTGTTAGGCCTGGGAAGTCAGACCAGTTTGGTTTCATGCAGGTTAAATGTCATTAACTTGAAGCGCCGTTCTGTGGTTCAGGTGAACGAGTCAATTGCTTGTTACGGGTCGTTTATTCAGTAAGGCTTGCAACATGCATCACAGGCCGGTTGTATTACGATGACAATCTGCGGCAAACTACAAATGTTGCTACTTGCAACAACACTCGATATGTTCTCTTTGATTCACCGTAAAGAGAACTTGTTCCCAATGAATAGTGGAACTAGTGTCTTAAGTGTGTCGTGCTATCCTCGCTAAACCAAGGCAAATCCATTTTTTGCCAGTGTTTAACGCCTATACATGTTCTACGTGATTTGTCTAACAATATGTGTTTACTTGAAAACAGTGAGAGTTTTATAAGGTGCTCGACCCACATGTAGTTTACCACGGTAATCGAATGCAGCGTACTGCCATTTCACGTGGTGGGTCAAGGTTGAGGTGCGTTAGGTCTTGTGGACTCCAATCACCCAATGAAATCTAGACAACGTTTAGGAACGTCGTCATCTTAACCGCTAATTAGGCCACTAAAATTGCTATGAAGGCTGTCTTTGAGGACGTCAACTTTTGGATAGAAGTCAGCAATTGTCAACTTCACCAGCAAACATGCGTTTTCAGCAAACGTGCACAATGTTCTTTCTCGTCTGTCTTCTGCCCATCTTCATCCATGGCTTCGGTAAGACGCCTTCATTTTCATCAATTTTGTGTTTAATGCACCTTAGATCTCAGGCCCGACCATGAGGTAGACAGTTACCTTGAGTCTCTCTCTGGCCAACAATTCGCGTTTATGGTTCCACGCGAGACGAATATTGGACCAGTAGAGGTTACCAGAATCGGAAGTGTACGTCGTGTCTGTCCCACGACAAAGAAGGCAATTAACGAGAATGGGACCCAGTTGTTCGAGGTTGCTGCCTGTATAAATGTGACAGATGTTGCAATTAGCCTACCAAAAATCGTAAGCTGTTTTTAAAATGCGAACTGTTACTATCATCGAAAATTGCTTCTCTTGCTACATTGATGTCTAATTCATTAACAACTAACATCTTGGCTCAGGGAGAATGTCGACATAGAAGCGAACGCACAGCAGAATTCTCTATAGCATTGAGTGATTGAAAGGCACCACAGCAAATCTTTCTATCTAAAAAGGACACGGATTCAGACCAAAAGGAGAACACATGCAATTCATTTGTTTGACCTGTCGTCGACGTGGCACGCATTTGTGTTCCACTAATTTTCATGGCATTTTAATCTGGTGAAATGTGGCTAGTAGAATTGAGTAAGACAGATTATTTCAGAAGTTAAATGATGTCTGTCTGTTTGAAATGACTTTTGCTGCATGGCTCGTCATCTATGCGGAATTCGAATAAATGTTTGATTATCTTATGGTTTAGTCTGTGACTGCAACAATTGCACGAGCGAGATTTGACCTTTCAATGAAAATTGACCCATCTCTGAAGCAGGCACCAAGAGCCACCCTGTCGATTCCCGTTTGGGAAGGCATCGAAGTAGAGGGATCCAGTGTCGTGAATCTCAAGAGTCGCAATTTGGTTAAATTTGTGCTGCAAGCAGCCATCAACTCTTCACCGAGTCAAACCGACTGGACAACAGCCAATCCATTTTAAACGCCAAGTGCTGTGTGGCTGTTCTCTTAATCTTTCATTCGTTTCTCTACTATCTCGATATTGTTAATCATTTGTTATAACATGCCTTTACTCTAAGCGTATGTCTTTTTACCAGATGGTTAGTCCGTAAGGTGAGTCCTCACATTGATTACAGGCACAGTTGACAATCGTCACATGTGGCCGCAAGTATTTTGACGATGCATTGATATGTAGTCCTGAGACAGCGAGACCAAGTGAATGGGTGATGAATATTTTGCATGAAACATGCATAGATGCTTTATTTGCATGTTTCAACACAGCAGAGGAATTGTTTGAAGCTGCTAAATGCAAAAGCACGCACCTTGTGTAACCCGTCGAGGCAGAGTCTAGTGTGTTTGATGAAAGTAGAACGAAGAACTATGTTGAAATTAGTTGGTTGCTCATCAAGTTCCAGCGATAAGTGAACATGCGACGTGTTATAACCAGGTGGATTTGAGTTATGTGTAGGATATTAATTAAGGCGTGAATGTGTGTAAAATTGAAAACACACACAATCGACGAAGAGAGGATATAAGAAGAATTCTGAGATTGATTGGGCAGTCAGAACCAATCTGCTTTTGTGGGTCTCAGCCCGTGGTTATACATTTAGCACGAGTCATTGAATGTTGTGACGTAGATAAAAGACACGTTGCTGTATTTTATGAGGGAGTTAGAGTTCTTCACTGCAAGCCAGGCTGACCATTTCATCAGTAAGTCAGGTGTTGGTGGCCAAGGAGTATAACAACCGAAATGTCTAAAATGGTGTCTTAGTAACTTGTTTCCATTAATTTTGACTGGGCTGTTCGTGCACTGTCTTGAAAAGTGGCCTGTGGACTAAGTGAGGTAATGGCCGGGCTGGATGACCGGACTTTGGTTTCTGGTGAAACTGAAGTTGGGTCTGGTTTTGCCTTTATGGAAATGGATTACTTTCAGTAATCGTCCAGTTCGTCAACATTCTTAGATTGATGCCATTGTCAACTGGCCTGGTCTCACTGTGTCAATGAGTTTTTTTTCCTCTAAGACGATTAATTCTGAAATGTTTCACGTCCATCCTTGGGAGAACATGGGTGGGCTACTAGGTGTGAACTAACATTCAGGCTGACGCATTTTCTATTTCACTTTAGACACGATATAGTCTATTATTTCTTCAACGCTTTTGTTACCACTTAGGCACAATTTTGTAATTACTGTTGAAATTAAGTGTATCATTTTAAGAAGGTAAACGACTGCTTGAAAAGATGTGCACTCAACCACGTCGATGAGAAATTAATTGCTGCGGAAACCAAAAATATGGAATTTTCTTGAGAAAGAAGCTTGTACTGCCAGGGCGAAACCACGATGATGATCCTGATTGTTGTAGGATGCTCATTGCCAAATCAGTAAGACAGTTTCTAGAAAAATTCAACAGGACACAAAATATATCGGAACCTCAAAATGAGCATCGATTCGCAATCGCCGGTGATAGATTGCAACCTGTGTTCTATTACCTCTTTGGCTTTATAAAACTGATTCTTTCTGGAGATTATTTCTGACATAGTGTGGGCAAAGATTGTTATATTGAAGCATTTCTATCATGTGTGAGTCATGGTTGATGACATTTAGTTGATTTATGCTGTCCCATTCATATCAAGATGAGATGCGTTTGATGTATATTCCCTTAATATCATTAGACTCAAGTATTTGAATGCAGAAACAGAGGTTGAAAAATCAATGAAACAAAAGTGTAGCCCCTATGTGCCTTTCAAAATAAACCACGTAACCCCAGATGATAAAGAATACGGCTTTTTTGTTTCCGTTAACTATGTGCAATATGTGGTATCGGATGCACAGTCGTTAAGGCCATTCAATGTATAATCGAATTTAAGCTGTCAATAAAACCTCAAAAAAGGTATCTAGTAAAACGGAAAACATGCACCGACCAAACGACCACGCCAACATGAAGAGACAAGTGAAGGTAACTAACCCATCCATCTGTCACAACAAGTGTGAAGCTCGCGTTACAAGGAGAATAGCCTTCCGCACAACTTATATTTTTACTCCAGTATTTGAGTACGTCAGCAAATCGGTCGGCTAACGCGGAGCTCTACAAAAGTTTGCTTTGTGGCGATCTTCTGTTAGATCTTTTCAGCAGGT